CGACCCTATACACAAGCTGCCCTTCGAGGCAGACTTCAATTGCGTAAAGGATCCACCGCTGGGTGGCAGTGGTTCGTCCCACTTGCCGCGTTGGTTTGCGCTGACCACGTGCGGACGAGGCCGAGGAGGTTTTGGCAATTGTATGTGTCTTTGCTCTCTAAACGGCGACACAGGAGGCGGTTGCAAAGAAAAGAAAAAAAGCACATACCTGGTGGCGGTCCAAGTCGACCGAACGACTAGCGGTGGCGGTGCCCTTGCGTCTTCCGTTCTCGGCAGCTGGAAATAAAGAGTGGTAACAATCTATTAAAGGGCTCACTACCGAAATCGAAAACCCCAACATTCTATAATACTGGACCAGTAGTTTATATGGGTGAGGCATGATATCCGCTGACCATGATATCCGCTGGTGACAATGAAGCCTCCCCAGAAGGCGGTGGCTGTGAGCATTATTGTCGCTGGCTCAGCTGTCTCCGACAGTGACTTGACACCCTGGCTCTGGTCCGCCGGGAACACAGCAGATACGCTTTGCTCGATTGAGGGAGTCACAAACGTTCGCGTTTTGCTATTATTACCCTTGTTATCCCTTGCCTTGTGCGTATGATAAAAATAAACGACTCGTAAATAAAATTGCATGAAAAAACCGCAGTCACCTCAGCGCGCTCCGAGGACTTTTGGAAGGCAGCAGCCCTCATAAGAAGTGAACGCTTCCGCCTCGCAGCCACTGCCTTTCGGTGCCGAATTATTGTGGGTGATGGTTCTCCCATCAATATGTCCACCGGCGACAATTATTCGTCCTGAAAGTGTGTGGCTGCTCGGCCGTATCGCGCAGTTCTCATGAGGGCCGCCTCCACCCAAAAGTCCTCAGTGAGGGCTGAAGTGACCTCCCAGGACTTTTATAATCCACACTATCTGCCAGAGAGACATCGCATTGTCGGCCATATTCAGCAATCGCCATAAATTGTCGTCGCATTTACCGTCGAGGGTACTATAGAGTTACCCCTGTTTATACTAGCCATGACCAGTTACAGATTACCTTTTAATGGTACTGACAATCAAACGTAGCATACCGTACAGGAGCTTTTATTGACTGTCAATTGCCTAATATCAGAGTAAACTGTATGAGCGGCTCAAAGGACAGACAAAAGCGTAGCGGTCTGAATACCTGTGTGCTCGCGCACGTTACAACGCACTAGCGTGCCACACTGCAAAACAAGCAAATGCTCTCGATGGGCCCCACCTGTTTAAAGACGTGCTCCAATACAATTGCGGCTGCATATATCCAATCGGATTGTTCAAATGCTTTCGGGCAGTATGCACTTGCCCG